CCCCAAAGCTTCCCACGCTGGGGTCTAGAGTTCCCCAGGGGAGACCCCACAGGCAGCGTCCACTGACGATGCAGGTGGGTAGAGGAGTTCCTGCATCCTCAGGCCTCCATCACTTCCCTTCCCCGAGCCCAGCCGTGGCCCTGGTCATCCTTACCTTGGCAGTGAGTGAGGTTTAGTCTCTTGTACCCCTGGGGACACTCCAGCTGGCCATTTTCAATCACTGGAGAGGCTGAGGAGGGAAGGTTCAGACAGGTCTCAGTGAGGGCCCTTGGGTTCCTTTGTCACCCACGCTGGGAGGTGGGGTGCAGTCTGGGTGTCCGGCTGTGTCTCCTTAGCTGAAATCCCTGCCCTGGCTCCCACCAGGCTACTCTCTGTCCACCTTGCTCTTCATAAAAGTGATACTAAGTCACTATATGTTTTGCATATGATTATATTACATACCATATATATTACTCTATCAATGTAATACAATATCACATATGATTGAACACGTTTATCACTTTTTAAAAAACTTTTTGTTTTGAAGTAATTCTAGGTTTACAGGAAGTTGCAAAAAAAATAGTCCCTGAGGATCCATCACCCAGTTTCTCCTAATGAGTACATCTCACATAATTATAGTTGTTTTACTGATGTTTTTTAAAAATATTTTTTGTTGATTTTTAGAGAGAGAAGAAGGAAGAGGGAGGAGAGAGAGAGAGAGAGAGAGAAACATCGATGTGATAGAGAAACATTGATCAGCTGCCTCCTGCATGCCCCCTACCAGGGAACGAATCCAAAATCCAGGCATGTACCCTGACCGGGAATCGAACCAACAACCTTTCAGTGCACGGGACAACACCCAACCAACCGACCAGCCAGGGCTGTTTCACTATTTTTTAAACATCTGGATACAATTCACACCCCGGCTAAGATCGGTCTATTTTGATACTTGGTTTAGCTGACAAAGTATCCTAGATCAAGAGGCAAGAAACTCATTAGTGATTGCACTTATAAAACCATGACATTTATTTCTCACTCACATTTACCAATCATGCGATGCTGTTGAAATCTGGCTAGTAAAATCCCATCTGCCCACAGGGAGGTCAGTTACTTGTTCTTACAAATTAAATTCTAAGCTAGAAAATTCCAGCTTTCAAGTTTTTCAAGTGTGCAAATGGAGATGGTTTACAGCATCCCATAATAAGGAAATAATTCGCAGTGTTTCGGTGTTGGTACATCTCCTGCCTTGATTTCACAACATTCCCTTTTACTTTATAGAGAAATTTAAAACTTTTTAATTAAAAAAAACACACACAGGGAAAGGTCTCCATTACTTTGGAGGGACAGACTAGTATGTCGACCTTGCTGAAAAGCTCTAGCAGGGAGCATACTACCGACAGCCATCTGTCATCACAGAAAAAGGCAGCAAATATAGAGTATCCATATTTTGGGGTTTTTTTTTTAACAAAGAGTAGCTCATCTTTAAGCCTGACACTTCCTCTGCCAAGAAAGACATAGCCAGCAGTTCTCAAAGGGCTCGAGGGATTTTCACAGACACCGTTCCAACACAAAGTTCCATAAAGATACCATCGGACTTCAAAGGTCTTGTTTTGTAAAGCTGACTGCGTGATGGCTTCCCAGAGCAATTGGTCTCCTGGCTTTGACTCGTTTGCAGCAATAGCTGGCCCATGAAGTCTGCCGTGGAATTTTATATCCAGTCCTCTCCATCGCTGTCACCTTACTAGTCACAACAGCAGTGGGTAAACTTCCAGAGCTGTTTAGTAAAGCTTATTTTTATTCAAGAAGTCACTTACTGTCGAGATTATATGTCCTCTGGTTCATCCTTTCTTTAATGGCTTACAAAAGGATAGTTCTTGCCCTGGCCGGGTGGCTCTATTGGTTGGAGTGTCATGCCATGTACCAAAAGGTTGTGGGTTCAATTCCCGGTCAGGGCACATACCCAGGTGTGGGTTCAATCCTCAGTTGGGGCGCATACCAGAGGCAACCAATCTATGTTTCTCTCTCTCTCTCTCTCTCTCTCAAAAATCAGTAGACATATTCTCTGGTGAGGATAAAAAAAAAGATCGTTTTTTATATATTTTATTATGGAAATGGATCCTTGCAAATACCAAGAGACGGGTATACCTGTACAGCAAAGTTTGAATGGCTCGTTTTTGTAATCAAGACAGTTTGACTCCTGTCACTAGCTGCTATCTTTGGGCACATTATACACTCAAGGCAAGGTCAGAAGAACAATGTATATAACTAAAGCGCCATGGCCTTCTTCATCATTTGGAGCCCGGGCTCCACTTGGGGAGGGTTGCTGGTTAAAACTAGACGACATAATTGAACACCCGTGGGCCGAGCATTGCTGTATGTTGTGTGTTGTGCTATGCCAGGCAAACACGAGTGCACCACCCTTTCTGGGGACCCCACTCTTCCCTCCACTGTGGGTGCCAAACATGACCGCTGACCGTCTGATATACGGATCAAGTGAGGACATAAATGAGTAAAGCTTCGTTCTTTAAGATAAAAAGGATGTGGATATAAGTTGTAGTATTTGTGCCTGCTGTGGAAGGTCTTGCTCAGGGTTTGCATGTTGCTCCACCGTGGGGGCTAGGCTCAGCCTAAAGCGCTTGAGCTGTGTGACGCATAGTGAGCAGGGAGGGCAGGTATCACCACCCCGGACACCCGCCCCTGGCACCCGCCCCAGGCACGCCTCTCGAGTGCTCCCAACACACACAGGCCTTCCCTTGTCATAGATTTAACATGATGGGCTGTTTGCTTGCCTATCTCCCCCCATAAAGCGTAAGATCCGTGAGGACAAGGTCCTTATCTTCTTCGTTGTTTCTATGTCTCTGGAGCCGAGCGCAGCAGATGGGACAGCACGGCACTCAATCAACGTGGAATGAATAATCATAGCAAACACCAAAACAGTGCTCTCTAGGGGCCAGGCCCTGGTATGAAGGCTGTTCACATATTAACTTATTTAATCCTCATAACAGCTCTGGAGGTCCTTACTATCATTATCCCCATTTTACAGAGGAGCAAACTGAGGCACAGAGGGGTTAGGAAACATGCTCTCGGTCACCCAGCAGGTGGCTGGAGCTGGGATTATGATCCCTGGCATCTGCCTCCAGAGGATAAATTCTGAACCATTCCTCTCTACTGCCTCCAAATAAAGTAAATGATTGACTTCATGGCAAGCCTTAGGAGGTGCCTAAGCTGAGAATCCTGGGGTCTGGAGGTCACAGGAAGATGCCTCCTAGCAGGAAGGGATCACCCTTTCTGGGAACCCTCCCTCTTCCTTTACCCCTTCTCCCCTCCTTTTTTTTTTTTTTTTTTTTTTTTTTTAACAAGGGATCAAAAAGGAGGAGGTCAGAGGAACTAATTAGATGCTGGGCAAATGCTCCACAATGTATATCACCGAAGGCTATGCAGGATCAATAAAAGGTGAAGAACCTGTGCTGCCTCATGGCCTCTCAGCTGAAGGATCAGAGAGTAGACAGAGAGGGATTGTGAGATCTGGACAGAGAGAGAGAGA